CTGAGTTTTTGAGTTGGCCCATGATATATGGAAGTTGTCCAAATTCAAATGACACTATTCCATTGGTTTTTGAATTTTATTTGAATTTTTAAAGATTTAAAATGAATTAAATTATCAAAAATTAAATAAAATAGAAAAATCAATATTTGGTCTTGAAATTAATCATGGGACACGTGTGTGGCATGACAAGGCTGAATCAAGTGGGAAAAAGTGGGCCCTTTTGTCAAAAATTGAAGTTTCAAGGATAGTTGACTTTTGCCATTTCACAAAAATTTCCCAACTTCTACAAGGCATAACTTGCTCAATTTTTAAGCTTTTCTCATGTTCTTGGACATTTTGGAAAGATCTTTGAGTCCTTTAACCAATGCCTTTGGTCCCATGTCATTTTGATTTACCAATCTCAAGTTATGGTCTTTGACTTAAAGTCCCTTTTTGTTGACTTTTGAAAATGACCTATAATGTTGAAATTGATAACTTTTTGTGAGAGCATTTCTTGGACTTGAAGTATGAAGATGAGTTGTAGGAAATGTCTTTCTCTTCAAAATGAGCTTTGGATGGAATTTTTCTGATAATCCATGTGAAAGTTATGCCCTGGTCAATTTCAGTTGACTTTTTCAGCTGTCCAAATATAGCAACTTTTGCATCTTTGATGATTTCTGAGCCAAATTTTGAGAATCATGATCAAGCATTGATCAAATGATGTTTGTGGCTTCAAAATGATATGTTGACCAAAAATTTGAACTTTTGACTGTCAAATGACCATTTTGCCCCTACAGTTGACTGTAGTGCAATTTAGGGTTTTGACTGTGCAATTTTGAGCTGAATGCCTTGAAACTTGATATGAGGATGCTTGACCATGTTTGTAAGCATATGAGACTTGATTGAACCTTTGAACACTTCATTTTCTTGATCAGAACTCAAACCCTAGTTTTGACTGTATGGGAGACTGTTGCACTGCACAACCCTTGGGGAATTTTGTAGCTTGGCTTGGCAATTTCTCGAGGAATATGGGAGGGCAAATTTTGGGGTATAACAGAAATGAATTGGCTAATGCTCTACAACTCTTTACACGCAAAAAGAAAATCATCTTCATTCTCACTCATACAACTTGCTATATCTCTCAAATTGCTTACTCTATAGTTATAGCATCCTAGTTTCACATAAGCTTAATTTGTGTATTATCATAGTTGTGATATAAAGTTTTTGTAGAAAACATTTAAAACACATAGTATTCATTTATCTGTAAGAAAGAATTTCCTTGAGAAACCGGTCTATGGTTTAGACTCAAGAAGGCTTTAGCAGTTGTTAAAGCAGTTGTAATATTCAATTGAATATAGTGGATTAAGACCTCGTTGGAGAGAGGCGAAATCACCTTGACGGGTGGACTGGAGTAGTTTGAGATCAAACGAACCAGGATAAAAATAACGTGTTGTCTGCATTTGATTTCAAGTTTTACAATTCAACCCCCCTTCTTGTGTTTTTTCACTTCTTCAAAGAGTTTAAAGTATTTGTTTGATCAGAAGGAGTTGAATATGAGGCAACAAAGATGGTTGGAATTGCTAAAGGATTATGATTTAGGTTTGAATTATCATCCAGGAAAGGCGAATGTGGTAGCTGATGCATTTGGTCGAAAGACTTTACATATGTCAGCAATGATGATTAAAGAGTTGGAATTGATTGAGCAGTTCAAAGATATGAGCTTGGTTTGCGAGGTTACTCCACAAAGTGTTATGTTGGGTATGTTGAAGATTAATAATGAATTTTTAGACAGTATCAGAGAAGCTCAGAAGTTGGACGTGAAACTGGTAGATTTGATGGTTGGGATTGACCAGTATGAGAATAGTGATTTTAAGCTTGATGAGCAAGGTGTGTTGAGATTTCGTAATCGGATTTATATTCCTGATGATGCTGAGATGAAGAAAGTGATACTCGAGGAGAGTCATAGAAGTAAGTTGAGTATTTATCCAGGAGCTACAAAGATGTATCAAGATTTGAAAGGTTTGTTTTAGTGGCCTGGAATGAAGAGTGATGTGGCTCGGTTTGTGTATGCATGTTTGACTTGTCAGAAGTCGAAAGTTGAACATCAGAAGCCTGCAGGATTGATGCAATCGTTGGAAGTTCTAGAATTGAAATGGGATAGCATTTCAATGGACTTTGTGACAGGGTTGCCTAATACTTTAAGAGGACATGATTTGATTTGGGTGATTATTGGTAGGCTTACGAAGTCAACTCATTTTATTCCTATTAACATCAATTTTCCAGTGCCGAAGTTGGCTGAGATTTATATCAGTGTGATCATGAAGCTGCATGGTGTTCCTTTGTGCATTGTATCAGATAGAGATCCAAGATTTACTTCGGATTTTTGGAAGAGTTTGCAAGAAGCGTTGGGTTCTAAATTAAGGTTAAGTTTGGCGTATCATCCCCAGACAGATGGTCAGACTGAACGGACAATTCAATCGTTGGAAGACTTGTTGAGGGCATGTGTTCTTGAACAGGGAGGTTCGTAGGATACTTATCTTCCGTTGATAGAGTTCACTTATAATAACAGTTACCATTCTAGTATTGGGATGACACCTTTTGAAGCGTTGTATGGTCGAAGATGTAGAACTCTGTTATGTTGGCATGAATCTGGATAAAGTGTAGTACTTGGACCTGAACTTGTTCGTGAGACTACTGAGAAGGTGAAGTTGATTCGAGAAAAGATGAAAGCTTCACAAAGTAGACAGAAGAGTTATCATGACAAGCGAAGGAAATATTTAGAATTCCAAGCTGGTGATCATATGTTTTTGAGAGTTACACCTGTGACTGGTGTTGGGCGAGCATTGAAGTCTAAGAAGCTCACTTCTCGTTTTATTGGACCGTATCAGATTTCAGAGAGAGTGGGGAATGTTGCCTATATAATGGCCTTACCGCCTACTCTTTCGAATTTGCATGATGTGTTTCATGTGTCGCAGCTTCGGAAGTATATTTCAGATCCATCTCATGTGACTCATATGAACGATGTGCAAGTATGGGATAATCTTATGGTGGGGACGATGCCTGTACGGATCGCAGATCGTGAAAGGAAAACTCTGAGGGGCAAAGAGATTGCCTTGGTTAAAGTGGTTTGGCTAGGAGTTGCTGGTGAAAGCATGACTTGGGAGTTGGAGAGCAAGATGCGAGACTCCTATCCTGAATTGTTTGTTTGAGGTAAATTTTCGAGGACGAAAATATTCTAAGTGGGGGAGAGTTGTAACGCCCATAATTTAATTAATTATTTAATTAAATTATATTTGGAATATTTATGAATATGTGTTATAATTAATTGGATTTATTTTATTAAGTGGAGAAGTAATATTAGAGACATAATATTATATGGTGAAATAATATTAGGAGGGTAATATTATTTAATGTGGGCTTATTTTGAGAGAATAGAAGTAATAAGGGGGTGTGTTGGTCTTAAGCCCAATAAGGAGATAATAGAATAATAAGATTATTTTATTATTTGTTGTTAGAATATAAGAAAGAAGCAGTAGAAAGAAATAAGGATTTGGAAGAGAACGTGCAAGCTGCTAGAGAAGTGGAAAACGACAAGAACGTGAATCCAACCAGAATTATAGAGCAACCTTCAATCCAAGGTAAGGGTGGGGTTCTAACTCTATAATTGGGTTTATGATGATTGATATGTGGGGTTAGAGATGGTTGTTATTTTGTTTCTGAATTGAAATCATATGATTGTTGTGTGATGAGAATCGATGAATGTTTGGATGAATAACGATGCCTTGATGTTGTTTATTTGCTGTAGAATTATAAGGTGATTTATGGGTGATAGATTGTCTTGATTAGATTAAGTTTTAAGGCTTAGTTATGAAACCCTGGTGAGATGCAGTAATGGAAAACGTTGAATGTAGCAGTAATGAAAACGCAAAATTATGCAGGGAAGGGAAACGCAGAATTAGGCGTGAAGAACAATCAGAAGTTGTTGTTTTAGAACAATGAATCAATTAAGAATGGCATTAGGTACTGTTCCTAATTAGGTTGATAACAGGAAAAGGAATTAAAATAATAACGTTAAGGAAAAGTAGTAGTTCTGACGTTAGGAGAATGCTGATAGAAGTTGCGTTAGATTAGTGAAAGATAGAAGTTCTGAAGTTAGACATAAGTTGTTAGAAGTTGCGTGGCCTAGTGAAAGGTAGAAATTCTGATATTAGAAGTTGCATTAGTCAGAAGATGGCATTAGTCAGAAGATGAGATGATCAGAAGTTGTATATGGTCAGAGGTTGAATGATCAGAAGTTATATCTGGTCAGAGGTTGAATGATCAGAAGTTGTATCTAGTCAAAGGTTGAATGATCAAAAGTTGTATCTAGTCAGAGGTTGAATGTTCAGAAGATGTCATGATCAGAGGTTGAGTGGTCAGAAGATGAGATGATCAGAAGTTTCACCTGATCAGAGGTTGCATTAGTCAGAAGTTATAGCAGTCAGAAGATTGTGTCGCCAGAGGTTGTGTCATTAAAAGTTGTGTATTTAGAAACTGTGTTGCGTGGTCAGAAGTTGTGTTGGCCTTTGCGTTGTTTGGGCAGAACGATGAACATTAGATGCATAAAAGCTGTTGTTTGAGCTATAACAGTAGGAAAGTGATGGTCTTGACGTTAGAGTTTCAGGATGACAGTGTCGATTTACTGTGGAATTAGAATATTGTTGAGTTATTAATAAGAAGTTATTACTAAATAATGATGTTTGATGATTTATAAATAAATGAATTTTGATGAATTATTTTGATTATTTGAGATGTTTTGAGATGATTATTTGAGATGTTTTGAGATGATAAATTGAGATGTTTTGAGATGTTGTTAACTTGGGTGTTATCATTACATTCATGGTTGTGTCGCATACATTGCATTTTTGAGATGAAGCTTATGCTCGTTGAGATGACCTGGATTGACAAATTTTGAGATGAAAGCTATGCCTTGTTGATGCCTCTATTAATTGGCAAATTTTTGAGATGGGAGTTCTGCTCCAATGGTACCACATGCATTTGCATAGTATTGAGTCGCATTATATGATTTCATAAAGAAGTGTATTTTGATGCTGATGAATGAATATTATTGATGAGATTTTCGTCGATTATGAGATGAGAAGTGGTGATGTTGTTGATCTAATTTAATATATTAATTATCATGCGCTTTATTATATTATTAGATATCTCACCCCTTCTGTTTGAATGTTTTCCTTATGTTGGTAACGTGCAGGTAATCGAGAGTGAAGGCTGTATTCCTTCAATAGTTCGAGTCGGTGTCATTGCTCTGATATGTAACACTCGGGGGAATGAACACTTGCTGTTTTGATTTATGATTTTTAGTTGTTGAACTTCAATTTGATTATGACTTATGAGATGATTCAAGGTTGCTGTTTTGTTAGAGATGTTATTAAGAATTCCGCTGCGTAGATGTTGATTTATTTAATTAAAGATGCTATGTTGATGGTTTATCCGATGTTTTGAAAGTGTTATATATCCACGATGAATGCAATGAATTTGTTAGAAGAATTTGTGACGTCCCGATTCATTTGTATGATTGAAATTTTATAACTCTGATTTATTTTGCATAATTTATTTGGGGTAGAATTGGGTGTTACACATATCCGAAGTCTGGAGGTATTTTAGAATTTTCGCCGAGAGGTATAAAAGAAGTGCACTAGGTGTTAAAAGAAGTGTACTAATTTATTTGAGTTTAAAAATAGTACACTGTCAGTGTAAAAATATTTTGAACTTAATAATAATGCACTGTCTGTGTAAATCAATATTACACATATAACCAATCAAAATTCATATATTTACCATATCATATTAATATTTTAAAAATAAAATTATATTTTAATTAAATACATAATTGTAATTGATTGATAGTTATAAAAATAATTTATACAGTCAATATATATATATATATATATATATATATATATATATATATATATATATATATATATATATATATATATATATATATATATATATTTCAAATATTTTACACTTTCAATACATTTTTTTATTTCTTTTTTATAACACTGTATATTCTTAAAATAAAATAAAAAATAATACCATCATCATCTAATAAAAATTCATCATTAGATCTCATAAAATTTATTTAAAATTAAGATTGACATTTTACATTAAAAATATTTTGGTCCATAAGAAGTTCAAATAATAAAGAAAGGGATTCCTAGCAAAGAGAGTAAGGTGCGCGCGTTGTGTTTTTCTGTTCTCTGCAGAAATCCTCGATCGCAACTAGGGTTCCTCCTCCACTCTTACGCTCACTCGTGAGTTCCCTTAACATTCTTCCACTTTTAGGGTTTTTTCTTCCTTTATTATTGGAATTCCGTGAATTTAAACCATTTTCTCTATGTTGTGCCTGTTGCAATTTGATTTCTGTTTTCCATGTCTATTTGATGGGTATAATTGGTTTTACAAAATCAAATCTAGTTAGGTGGATTGATTTTAAAATCCAGTTATAACAAATGGTTTTTATACGGATGCAAATTGTTTATATTTATATTTTATCAATATATTATTAACTTATTGTCAAATAAATGAATGTGCTATGACACTGATTTTGAATGTGCTTTCTAGTTGTTATCACTTGTTTTATTTTCCAGCTGTAGTGGATTGTGTAGTTTATTCATTTCTGGATGTTGATTCCTAATTTGGTCTTGTTGGATGGCAGTGATACAAATGAGTGTTGTGACAGATTCTCCTGTACATTCTTCTGGTAGTGATGACTTTGCTGCGTATCTCGACGAAGCACTAGATGCAAATTCATCCAACTCATCCTCAGATGAAGAAGCTGAAGGCAAAAATGAGTTTGAGGATGTCAGGTGCTCTTCATCACCCATTTCATATTACATGAATAATGACACTAGTCAAGTTGTTTCCAGGTGTGGTTTTACAAATTTGAAATTTGTTAGGTATAACATATTCATATATCAGGTTATGATTTGTTTGAGGATTAAACATTGTTTAGATACAGCGTACTCTGTTGCTTATTCAAATGGATGTAGCTGAAAATTTAGTTTTTGATTAAGTGTAATGGTATTTGGTTAATCAATGTGGCTGACCCTATTCAGTACAAAAAAGTTGGTTGTTGTTGTGGGGTGTTGGGGACTTGTGGTTTGGATGCATATATGATGTATGATTGAACCCGTGTTGTCAATTGCAGACAGAGGATTGTTAAAATTCCGCTATGCAATAGTCCTATATGCTATGCTGGCTGTTTGACAACATTTTGCACTAAATAGCATATCGCGGAACAATAACGGGTTTTCCAATTTCCGCTACACTATAATGGTTTAGCGCTGCTATATGGCTATTTAGCAACATTGGATGTAACACTATTGCGTTGTTTGCTCCATGTAGGAAACCTCAGCTAGTAGGATAAGCTTTGATTGTTGTAAGGTGTTATGGTAGTTCAGACTTTTATTATAGCTTAGTAAGAGTCTCACTAGCTTACTTAGTACTCGTTTTTCAATTTTCAGTTATTTCTTTTTTCATTTTTCATTTTTCATTTATCATTATAATTCTTTTTAATGTTTTAGGAGTGGTTTTTGATTCCAAAAACTCATGAAAGATTGTAGTCCAATGTTTTAACTTTTAATTACATTTAGGGCATTGTTTATACTATAGATAAATGCATGCTGAAGCGAGGACCTGGATATGGGATCCTTCATCCTTGCAGTGTCCATTCCCCCATTGATTATATTATAGAATGCATATTACTACCAGTTATGGCTTTCTTATAAACTTGTCAATTGGAAGTGTTTTTATTTATGTTTTGCTTTATGTATCGATACTATTGTATGAAACCAATTTTTTTGGTGTGTGGAAATGTGTTGTGTGGGACTAAATGTTGGGAGTTAGGAATTCACTCTGGTAGAGATAAGAATGTTATGGTGGAGAACTGATCATTGAAGATAGGACCAAGAATAAAATATTTGAAGAGAAAGTTGTGCTCATTTCCATTCAATAAAAGAGAATAGAGTATCATCTCAAGTGGTTTGGGGATATGTGCTGTAGAAGCATCAATAAGAGACATTTTTATAGTGAAATAGTTAAAAGAAGATAAAGTGATACTAAAGGAAGAATGGAGAAACAGGGGTCCATGACCCATCTAGACTCAAATGACCTAATGTTAGACAGGGTACATGATAGATTTTTTTGTATCACTTGAACCATGCAGCTGACTCCTTTCACTATAGTTGTTTTTGTTGAATTGTGAACCAATTAAATTTAAAGCTATCGGAGAGATGGGTTATTGGGTTCCTATTTTTTGTCACATAATTCTGCATTCTTTCTACTTGTTTCATGTTTTTAATCAAATTTTTCCATGCTTACACTTCAATTTACAAATTAAAGCAGCAATAAAAGACGTAAGTTTGAAAGTACTGAAGAAACTGAGGGGTCTACTTCAGAAGGAATTGTGAAACATGAATCAGGTAATTTTGATTGTTTTAACTGTTTGTTTCATTATCTTTTGCTTGGAACCAAAATTCATCCCGCCACATGTGCATATAGATTTTAATTGTTTTATTCATAAACAGTTTTTAGAGCAAGCAAACCATATTAAATTTTAAAAAGGGATGTGATAACGCCTGTTATGTTAGTTAATCAGCATTTAATGTTCTCTTGAACTATTTTAATTGTACAACCTAAGCTCGTTAGACAGGCATTGTTATATGTATTTGCCTATATTCTTTACCTCTCTTAACCAAGAAAGCGGATTGATTGTTTATTCACTGATTTTGTCAGCTCTTATAGAGATGAGTTAATGATATGTACACAACTATATTATGCACAATCTTTTCACATCTGTGAAAATGTGATTGTGAATTTTTTAATCTTATAACTTGTCATTTTGTTCTGAAAGTGTTGTAACACCCCGTGTCTCTCCGTTTTTGAAGAGTCATCCGTGAAGGTAGATGTTTGTACACATCCTGGCTCATTTGGAAACATGTGTATATGTTGTGGGCAAAAGTTGGATGAGGAATCTGGTGTGACATTTGGGTACATACACAAGGTATACATTGTTTCTAATGATAATTTTCTGAAATTAATAATTAGATTTGGATAGTTTTTGCTGCCCCACGTTGCTGTTTTTGAATGACTGTTAGATGGGCTGAGTGGTTGTTATCAATCATAACAAACAAGTGTAGAGTATAGACTGTAGTGGCAACTGACAGCCTCTATCACCATTCCTTTGGGATATCCACACTTCTATTGTGCTAGGGCACTCACTAGAAGTATACATATGAATAGTTTCTACGCACTACCAGAGTTTGACCATGTGATGATTCTGAGTTTTATACACATCATCATATATCCTGCATTCTTTAATATATACATTTTATATTCATTCTTATGATATAATTAGCACGATGGTGTGACTGGTAGTGATAGTTTGTGAGCAAAATCTAGTTAATCTATGTAGTTTAGCTTGCAATAGTTTCTTAAATATGATGGGAAATTTTGTATTTGCAGGGACTGAGACTTCATGATGCGGAAATTTCTAGACTGCGTAATACAGACATGAAGAAATTTTTATACAGTAGAAAACTTTACTTGGTTCTTGACCTGGATCACACATTGTTAAATACCACTATCCTTAGTCATTTGAGTCCAGAAGAGTTGCATTTACATAATGAGACAGATTCTCTAGAAGGTGTATGCCAACCAATGTGTTTATTAATTTTGGCAATTGACATCATTATTTTATATTAGTTTTGCTTAATGCATTTCTTCATCTTAGTTGCTTTTTTCACATACCAATTATAACTTTATCTCATCATAAAACATGAGATGTGTATTCAGCATAAATGTTGGACATGTTATAGTTCTGATGCATTGTCATTCAATCATCTGTTATTGAAATGTTGGCATTATACCCCTTTCTTGATTTGTCAGTGTATGCAGATACTGTAATAAGTAAAAGTGTGTTAGAGGAACAAATGAGTATTTTCTATATAATCCTAGACTGGTGTTTGACTGTCTGTTGCATGCTTTGAGAAAGCTTGCAACGGGCTTCATGCATTTTGTCTATGACTCATGAAAATTTTGCCAAATAAGCATTTGCTCATGATTGCTAAAAGATAAAGATATTAGTGTGTCATTATGCAATTACAAGTACCTTGCTTCTCATCATGACATAGAACTATGCATAAATCATATACAAAGTAGAGTGATGTTGTCGTAACAATAGCATCTCATATTATGATTATAATTTTTTAAATAGATTGACATGATAACTCAAATTCTTACATTTTAGGGAAATTAGGGTCTCTTCAACTCTTACACTTCATCTGATCATGTGTGTATTCTCATTCTGACAATTATTTTTACGACTTCGTATTATGAAACAACAGACGTCTCCAAAGGTAGCCTCTTCAAATTGGAACATATGTGTATGATAACCAAGTTGAGGCCCTTTGTCCGTACGTTTCTTAAAGAAGCAAGTGAAATGTTTGAGATGTACATCTACACCATGGGTGATAGGCCATATGCATTGGAGATGGCCAAGCTCCTTGATCCTCAAGGAGAATACTTCAATGGTAAAGTGATTTCTCGAGATGATGGGACTCAAAAGCATCAGAAGGGTCTCGATATTGTTTTTGGGCAAGAAAGTGCTGTATTAATTCTCGATGATACAGAACATGTAAGTTCACCTAAAGTTTCTGACTTTTTTTGCTGAATTTCTTAATTTTAAATATTTGTTTGATGATATTTATTTTATGTGGAAGTCAATCTCATAATATTTTCTTTTACCTATATGTATTGTCAAAACTGTGTCATCATTATTTATTACTAGGGGATGTCCTTCAATTATAAGGATTTGATTGTATATGTGTCTTTATCATGTTTCCTTATTTATCTTGCAATCCTTGTACATGTGTGTGTATTGTAAGCTTAGTTATTCAATGAAATTTATTTTACCCCAATTCTTGAGATGTACGAGCAAATGAAACACAATTGTATAATATGAATCAAGATTGTCTATAATTATATGATGTAAGATGTGGGAGATAGGACATCAGCAGTATGGAATCAGTTTTTCTTGCATTTGCATTTGCATTTGATGTTTGCAGGAACTAAAGAATGCTAGAATGATTCTAACGGTCTGCATCATGATTCGCCTTTAGCTGTGCTTAAATTGGTTTTACCTTGCAGTGTTGCTTTTAATAAAATATAACAGAGGATAGTAAGAATGGGTCTTGAGTTATTTTCACTGATTTGTGTCTCTTAAGTTATGTATTAATTTTAGGAAATAAAATACTTCTGTTTCTATTCATATTTTGATGCTTACTTCATATTTGAGCATAGATATCATCAACAGATTTCTAATTCAATTCTGGTTGGACTGGAAATTTTACTTTTAACTTTCTTCACATGAATACATGCTTAACTGTTTGTTGTGTCCGAAGATGCTGCAGCTAAGCAGCTTGGTCCCTCTCATATATGTGTTTGTTTTCCTGATTATTAATTAACATAAGCCTTTGCCCGCTTAGTGGGATAATGCTTGGTTGCTATTGAATTAAATAAGTTCTGTAGAGTTTTTTTTCTCTATAGGCGCTATAGCGAGCTCATAGTTAGAACGTACTTAAGATCATCCATCTAATGTTTAAAATGTTATGGTTTGTCGTTTATGAACTAAAATGACCTCCTTTAAATGAGATGTAATTTAATGTATTGTAATATATTGTTGCCAAGAAATGTTGTAGGCATGGATGAAGCATAAAAGCAATGTGATACTTATGGAAAGATACCATTTTTTCGCTTCAAGTTGTCGGCAATTTGGCTTCAATTGCAAATCTCTTGCTGAAACGAAGAGCGATGAAAATGAAATTGATGGAGCACTTGCAAAAATACTTGAAGTGCTAAAGCAAATCCATAGCACATTCTTTGATGTGAGTCCCTTATTATCATCTCATGACTTCTTAAAAAGTCAGTTATTTTAGATATGTTGCTAAAGTTGTGTGGTATGAAATTTTTGTAGAAACTTCAAGGAGATCTTGTTGACCGAGATGTGAGGCAGGTAGTTATCTTGTTGATATGTCTTTTATAATTTTAGCATGTTGAAATGGAAATTAGCTAATCTCTATCCTCCTAGTTTGAGATTCTAACAATGTGGTTCCTGCAATCTAGGTTTTGTCATCAGTTCGAGGTGAAATATTAAGTGAATGTGTGATCGTTTTCAGTCGTATTAATCATGGTGCATTGCCAACTCTTCAGAGAGTTGCACAGCAAATGGGAGCCACCTGTTTGACAGAACTTGACCCCACAGTAACACATGTGGTTGCTACTGATGCTGGAACTGAGAAGTCCCGATGGGCAGTTAAAGAAAAGAAGTTTCTGGTTCATCCTCGATGGATAGAGGCTGCAAATTACTTTTGGCAAAAACAACCAGAGGAGAACTTTGGTCTAAAAAAGCCGACTAACAACTCGTAGTATAGCACTGATCTATCTATCTATTGGTGATGAATCAAAAACTTCTCTTTTTAACTTCTTATTTTGGTAGAAGCAAAATGAGAACTTTCTCTTGTGCCAACACAAGCTTAGGCTTTTATTATAATTTTGTAGTTTATAAAACCAAAGAACGTGGAAGGATACAATGCTATTGCAGTTATAACATGTACAGTTTTTATTGGTTCCCATTGTTTTTTTTTAATTCCTTGAGTGTTGTAACAAAGTGCTAATAGTGCTTGAGAACACCAATTGACTTTGGTGCATATAATGCAAAAACTTCTAATTTATGGAGCTCAACCACTCAAATTCTATAAGTTGTTATTATGCGCCTCCAATTTAAGCAAGTTTCGGTTTCGTTGCTTCATCAAACGAGAATACGATCCTATCTAACCCTATTTCACCCAATTTAACAAGAACATTACCTTCACTGTCCGGTGTATCTGACACCCTAAATCTCTCTCTTTCTAAATCTCTCTCTCTCTTTTTTTTTTAATTTGAAAAATGAGAAAGTGGTTTTTTAGTAGTCATAATAAAGTAAAATAAAATCGTGGAGATGATTTTTAAAACAATCTTTTTGTATAATAAATAAATTTTCATTTGCTAAAAGATATCATTGTATCACCACAAACACAACATAATACAATAGTTTAAAATGAAATATTTTGACTTAAAACCTTATAATTTTCTCCTTTAAATATTTTGAATCCTCTCCTTCATTTTTCTCTCCTCTCTCCATCCTCTCCATCTCTCTTAATTTCATTCTCTCTTTTAATTATATTTTGTTTATTTGATAATGAGTGGGAGTGAGATTAAGAAATAGATAGAGAGAAAATAAGAGAAAAATGAAAGAGGATACAAATCCCATAAAATCTTATAATTATCTTTCACAACAACTTAACAATTTTCCAAAAACCTAACAAAATTAGTCCATCAAAATTTTTCCAAAAATCCAAAGCTTTTTTCATCCTTAGGAGTGCTTGGATGAAAAAAAAAAAAAAATCAAAAGTCACAACTATTTTTGGTGTTAAGAGATGTATTTCACAAAGTATTTTTTTACTGCAAATTGATGAGACACTCTATTTTATCAAAATTTAATTTGGAGATACATTTCGTATGCATATGTGGTTAATTCAGAGATACATATCTATAAAAAAATTTAATTTAAACTTTAATTAAAATTTAGGGAGTTGTCCAGATGCATTCAGAGGTTTTTATTTTATATATTCGCGTCAGACCATTTTCTTTTCCTCCTTCATTTTTTGAAAAGTCACTTAAAAAATACCATTTGAGTTCTTCTGCTGCAAACCATTTTCAAATCCTATTCGAAGAAGTTTCATCAAGTTCACTCACTCTATTCTACCTCACCTGCTATAAAGTTACTCACTCCATACAAACTTCACATCCACAATTTTGGTTTGGTAAGTTTTTTAAAATTCATTCTTTTGTGTGTGTTTTGAATGATATTTTAGGTAACATAAGTTGTTTAACTACATTAGATAGTATTGCAATTGAAATAGGCAGTTGATATGGACATGCAGTGCCATTTGGTTGGAGGTTAGGACAACATTGCAGTTTCTACCATGGCTGAAAATCACGACTTCATCCAGAGACGCATCTCCGAATTATGTTTGAACTATTTTTGAAGATGTATCATTGAATTTGCACCTAACTATATTTTGGTTGAATCAAATTTGTGATGTGACTTTCTGGTTTTAACGTAGGTGCAATGGTTGAAAACAATCCTATCAGAATTAGGCTCGATAGTGTGTCCCAAACCGCGTATGCAAATAGTGAGGGGGTTGCGACTAAGACCACGAGGCCACGAGTCAATGATAACTCATTTGATAGTTCACAACGTCGAGGTTCACAACCATATGGTTCTACTTTTCACAGTCGCTTGTCTCAAGCCTCTACTTCACAGGGCCACAAGTCCCCAGATGATAAAACAACACATGGAGCCCAAGAGGAACCAACTGCTAATTCCCCTTTAGAGAGTTATCCAAGAGACCCATTTGACACCTCCTTACTTCATCTATATGTAAGAACAAGATTGGTTATGCATCTGACCTTATGTTTTGATGATAACTTTACATGGTATCTTAGAGAATAATTGTATACTTTAATGGTTTCTGTCTAGTGTGTAGCTTTTATTAAACAAGTTCTGACTCTGATAAAAGGCGTGTGATGTCATCAGGTTCTAAACTCAACACTCTAAAAGAATATTTTTGGTGTGTTACAAAGTTAAGTCAAGATTCTAGAATACTTTTTATGCAATATTTTTAAAGAACGTTAGCACAAGAGCTTCTAATCGTGACTTTGCAAAGAAGCTTTTGAGGCCTTCTAAAGTTTTGCTTTTGTTGTCCCAAGTTCTAAAGGTGCTGAAGATAAGGTTATGCTGAACAAGTTCTGAAGATCTGAAGACATTACTTCTGAAGACCAAGTGCTGAAGACTCTGAAGACACAATTCTGCTGAACAAGTTCTGAAGACTCTAAAGACTTAGGCTAAGAAGACTCAAGTTCTGATCTTTCTACAACATGCTTCATCAACATACATCAGAAGCCTACGAAAAAAATAAAAGATAAAGATCAATACTGGATTGCGTGAGATGGTGAGTATAAAAGTACAAAGTACAGTGTGACTTCTACTCGGATAGGGTGGCGTAAGGACACTCTTTTTGTACTTGTTGTCTACCATTATCACCATGACCGTTGGAGAAAAAAATAAATGGTTTTATGTTTCCTATTCTACCCTCCATTAGATCTCTTTTTTCAACTATAAAAGGAGAACGTGGAAGAATTGGAACTTAACACTTACTGTTCTACAAAACTACGCTAAAGCGTTGCATAAACTATTTTGAGATATTATTTGTATAATTTTGTATTTTTAGCAAGGAGCTTTTGTTTATATCTTGTTATCAACACTTTTGTGTTGCTGTACTTAAATATTGTGTAACCTACTTGTTAGAAGCATATCATTATACACATCTTTGTAATCAACGATTGTTGATAGATTTTTTGAGAGACTATGTGTAGTCTGGATTCTCAAGTAGACTTTGGCTGCGATCATCATGGATTGGCAATAAGTATCAATGGATTTGTTGGGGTTGTCAACAAGGTTGATCAGACTTATTGTGGTTATTTGTAATCGGTTGATTATAGTGGATTAAGAACTTGTGGATAAGTCAAATCACTTTGTTTGGTGGATTAGAGTAACTTAGTTAACAGTAAACCAAGATAAAAATAATTGTGTTCATTTATTTTTATTCACTTGTTAGCTTTGTGTTTGAGTAGCGAAAATATTATATTTGGTACAACCTAATTCAAACCCCCTTTCTTGTGTTTCTCGCACCTTCATTATATGGAGACTATACTGCTAGGCATCTATGAAAAAGAAAGGTATATTTATTTACTTTTACATTACATATGTTTTAAACTAATTAAATCGCGACTGATGGTGATATATATTTTTACAAGAGCGTCCATGTTTAAAATCGATAAACCACGATAGCAAGATATTGAATTTAGAACAACCTGAAGATGAGAGGTTCAGGGACGTTATCCGCTATTCTGGTCTTACCGATTTATTTGCTGCTGGGTACACGATCATAAACCATGGCATGTAGGCGACATTTGTAGAGAGCTGACATTCAGAGACATAATCTTTCCACCTTCCTATTAGCGAGATGACCACCACCCTGAATGACGTCTCATGCCTCATGCATCTTTCCATAAGAGAAAAATTACTGGACCACAGAAGACTCGTTCGAGAAGAAGTCAATGAGACGCTGGTTACATATTTGGGGGCTGAACCATCTAAGGCTACAAATGAAGTAGCTGATATGCGAGGCGCTCATGCTAGATTTAAATTCTTGGAAGAATTTTATAAAAACCACCTACAGTGGGCTAAGGATGCAAATGATAATGATATGTAGGTTGAGTACAATCAAACTTGTGTATTGAGGTTTTACCTCTTGTTCCTGATTGGCACGTCCATTTTTATAGACAAAAGTGCCACCTACGTTGATGTGTCTAGCTTAAGTACTTCATTGACTTGACAAAGATTCGCGACTATAATTAGAGGGCCGCCTGTTTGGTCTATTTGTATTCGAAGTTGGGTGAGGATTGTCTATGAAAGACAAAGCACATGACTGGAGGCTACACGCTGCTTACAATAATTTAGTGTTAATAATATTTTCATAACTATTCTGGCATCTCGGAACCAGATTTTGACAAAAATGGAGCGTGTCGATGAATTACAAGGGATTGTGTGATTTTAGATGCGTCAGGAGATGCACCTCCAAATAAAAGAAGAATTTCAAGAGGTGTGTGGGGGCGCACTCCATAATATGGAAAGAGAATTTCCCAAATATTAAATTCAATTCCGATTTCACATTATCATAACATTACAACCAAGTAACAATTTTCCAAAAACTCAACAAAATTAGTCCATAAAAAATATTAAATTCGACTCCGATTTAGCAATATCTTAGCCTTACAACCAAATAAACACTATAATTTAACGGACACTCCTAAGACACCACATAATAAGTAAGAGAAAATTTCTCCATTTTATAACGTCTTGAGTTTTTATTTAATATTAGTTAAATATTTATTCACTTTTAAAGATGCAAATTTTTCCTTTCTTTTAACTAAGCTTATTTCTTCCTTAAAAATTGATGATCATGTGGTAACTGACAAGGTTCTTTTGGAGCAAGATATAGATGAACACTTCAAGAATCTTTATAACATTCCTACTATACTGCATGATAATGGCTTAATAGGTGAAACAATACCTAAGTTGATGAATGATCAAACTAATGCCATGCTTACTAATATCCCTTCTAAGTTGGAGATCCATAGTGCTGTCAAGAGTCTCAACATTGATTCTGCTCCAGAGCAAACAAGCTTTATCAATGGTAGAAGCATTAGAGATAACATATGTCTCATCTCAGAAGCCATTAACATTCTTATCAGCATTAAAA